GATGAATGCATAAGGTATTCTGTCCCGGTTTTTTCTCGATATTGGAACAAGGGCATTCTAAAGGAGAAGCACGGTCTAGTAGTAGTTAAAGGACAGACTCTGGAGATCTGGATTCTGTACCTGGCTCTGCCACTGATGCAGCAAGTTTTGCAAATCATTTCACCTCCTTTAAGCCTCAGTTTCCACATCCATGTAGACACCTGGGCATCTTGTGAGGCTTAATCAGTGTTTGTAAAGCCCTGCGGTCCTCAAGATGATGTCCTACAGGTACAAATTGTTTTGCTAATAATAATGTAATGGTCTGATGCCTACCAAAAATATCAAGTCCAGTGTTTGCTGACCAATATTTTAAATATACTAAGCACAATTTGTCACATCTGGCCTAAGTGCCTGGAGAAGGAGTTCTGCATCCCATGGGGCTTTCATGGGGCAGGGCAGAGAGTCTTTCCACTGCTGCTCTCCTCTGGCACAGTGGGAAAGCAGCATGCACAATGGAGCTGCACCAGGTGAAGCTGCATTAGAAGAAGAGCTGACTCAGTACACCCCCACCAGCTCAGGCCATACCCTTCTCTGGAGTGAGTTTTGCTGCATTGGTTGCCTGTGAATCTCCCATTGGAGAGGAGGTTGCAGCCGCCTTCCTCCACTGGAACTTGCCATGCCCCGTGTAGACTTTACCTCCCTGGGGGCCCTGTACCAGGGTCTGTGCTGGCAGAACCTGCAGCGAGTCTGGCCCACAGAATTGCTCCAGCCTTGTGTATACTTACCTGCTCCCCCAGCATGGGAAAGGGGCAGAGGTGCTGTGGCAATGGGTATACTTACCCAGAAGCAGAGGAGGAGCCAGGAGTATTTATGGGAAGCTTCACTTTGTGTTTGATTTCCCTGCTATTTTTATCAATGTCATCTCTTCCGAATACGGTACAGCGTGAGTAAGAAATCCCCCCCCACACACACTTTTATGTAATTTGTATCTATTCCTATTTCCTACTGAAATTCCTTTGTAAAGACACTATCCAAGTATAGAGTTGAAAATTTCTTCTTACAATAAGCCAGATGTCCAACCCTACTTTAGCTGCCAAGCCTGAAAAGTTCAAGAAAGATGTTAAAATCTGTCTTCCTGGCTGTGAAAGACTAATTGCATAGCATAGGTGATGATCCCAGTCTCCCAAGAGAAGGAATCAAACTGCTTAGGGCAAAAACTCTGCTGTTATTTGTCTAAGGAGTAGAGTTGGCAATGTCTGTGGAAAAAGTTTCATGGCCTGCCCTCCTTGCTGGCTAACAGCTTCAGACAGAAACACACACGCTCATGAACATTTGTAACTCAGTGACTGAAAATATTAACACACTTTATATGAAAAATCCATTTTTGGTAGGAATATTAAAAAATATAGCAAGCCAAAAAAAAAAAGGACACTCATGGAGAGAGACGCAGGACTGAGAGCCATGGAGCTTCCATGTTCTTCTCCTGACACAGAACTCTGTGGCTTTGGCTAAGTCATTTTAATCTTTATGTATCTCCGCCTCAGCATCTGTCCAAGGGAGATACATTATTCACTTACCTCGCAGGTGTGTTGTGAGAATTAATTTTAATGTTTGTAAAGCTACCCATGTCCTATTGATTATTGTTGTATTTCATTGGGTGAGTGGAAAGGATCATCCAGTTGAATCGGCACTGGATTTTAATTTTCCAAGCTCTACGAATGCAAATAAGCCAGTAACGTTATACTACCAGCCTCCACATCAGGAGAATGTGATGAAAATGTTGGGAGAGATCAAAGTGGCAACCAAATCTAATGAAACCTTTGCCATTTGAGACATCAACTCCGTGCATATAAACTGGTCAAATGTTACAGTGGGCCACAGTCTGATACCTTAAATGGTTCCTTGTTGTTGAAACAACTCAGATGTGGAAAAATTGGAGAGAGTCCAGCGGAGGGCAACCAAAATGATTAGGGGGCTGGTGCACGTGACTTATGAGGAGAGGCTGAGGGAACTGGGATTATTTAGTCTGCAGAAGAGAAGAATGAGGGGGGATTTGATAGCTGCTTTCAGCTACCTGAAAGGGGGTTCCAAAGAGGATGGCTCTAGACTGTTCTCAGTGGTAGCAGATGACAGAACGAGGAGTAATGGTCTCAAGTTGCAGTGGGGGAGGTTTAGGTTGGATATTAGGAAAAACTTTTTCACTAGGAGAGTGGTGAAGCACTGGGTTCCCTAGGGAGGTGGTGGAATCTCCTTCCTTAGAGGTTTTTAAGGTCAGGCTTGACCAAGCCCTGGCTGGGATGATTTAGTTGGGGATTGGTCCTGCTTTGAGCAAGGGGTGGGACTAGATGACCTTCTGGGGTCCCTTCCAACCCTGAGATTCTATGAACTAGTTATAGAGCCCCCAAGGCGGGGAGGGGCTATTCTTTACTTAGTGCTAAGTAACATGCAGGAGGTGGTACAAAAAGTAACTATGGTGGAGCCATCGGGAGATAGTGGCCATATTACATTTGTCTCACTGTTTCCTCGTACTCCCCCGTCCATCTGTCTTTATCCATCTTACATGTGGCATGGATGCTACTTTCAGGAAGCAATAATAGAGTCTCAGAAGCCATGCGTTCCTTGGAACACAAAGGGACTAGGAAGGCAAGGAATAAATAGTAAAGGCCAAGAGGTTATTCAAGCCGAACAGAGATCCTTCAGAAAATCCAGCCATAGTGAAGTCAGTAAATAGGAGTGTGAAATATGGCAGGCAGTACATTAGGAGGAAGTGAGAAGGCTAATATGGAATTTGAAGAGCAAATATAACTCGCAGCATAAAAACAAGTAACAAGGAATTCAGTGATTATATCAGAAGCAGGAAACCTCTATGAGAAGCGGTGCTTCCGCTGGGCCACCAAAGGGAGCAATTAAAGACTATAAGGACATCGACACAAATCTAAATGATTCTTCATATCAGCCTTCACCACAGAGGATGCGGGGGAAAGCCCCACCCCAGACCTACTCTTTCCTGGAAATAAAGTTAAGGATTTTACATCACTGTGATACCTGAGTGCAGAGCAATTCAGAAGAACTGTTTCACCATCCCTATTTTCCATGGCTCTGATAATTTGAAGCCAGGTGGCATCTAGCCCTTCATTGGTCAGCAAGGAAGGGAAAGAGTGCAAGGAGCCTTCCCTCAAAAACCTCTTCGCATTCCTATGCGGGGACCAAGCCACGCTCTTTTCGCTGTGTATTCTCTGAGCAGAAACACCTGAGATTTCTAGCAACACAGGGAGGGCAAGACCCATGGCTCGGCTCTTCTGCAGCAGGCAGTAGGCACTGCCCCTATTCTAGGTTGTGGCTTAAAGCAATGGTTTGGTTTTTGATGGTACTTCCGTCTTATCTGTCAGCCAATCTCTGTATCCATCTTCATTCCACCTGAAGTGTATCTTTCTGATCTTCTTAAATGTTGGGTTTAATCAGTAAGGATCATCACCCTGAGACTGGCGGTTCTTGGCCAGGGATAGCTGTGCTACCCCAATAAGGCTCAGGAAAGCCAGAGAGGAATCAACACGCTCTTTGCCATATCAGCCCAACATCATCTCGGATACCTCCCTCCTCCTTTTGGTTTGTGTGTGGCATTAGCAGACATAGGCACCCTGCCAAAGTCTTGCAACTCATTGTTTCTTTATTTTAAATGCAAGGTTCTTTTATTAACTCCAGCTGGGGTGCTGCACTCTGCTCGCTGCGTTCCCTTTATTAAAGTTGAGCCACTTACAAGTAGGACATTGTAAATCACGAGTGTGGGGCAGAAGGAAAGGGGCGGGGACTCCAATTGTATGACAACAAAGAAAGCGCATAAACGGATCTGGCCTTCTGGCAAATAAAAGCCAAGCTAATGGAGAGCAATTTCCAATTGCTCCCTGGAAGGCAGGCGAGAGCCAGAGGGATTTGCAGGAATAGAGGAGGCTGAATACTTGGATACCTGATGTTTCCTCCTGTATACTGAAACGCCAGCTTCTCTGTTTCCCCTGTAGTCTTTGTATGTGGGAGTAAAGGGACAGACCTTTGAGTAGTAGAGTTGCCCACCTCTCTTGTTTTATACTGCCATACCACCTGCGAGACTGCTGATCTGCTGTGCAGGAACTTTGCGAGACTCTGTGTTGTGGAGAGGTCACCCTTAGGAACTCAGCCAGTGGGATTCCATTGGAGCCACTGGGTCTCTGGGGATTCCTCATGGAAAGCAAAGTGGGATTCCATGCAATGGAGAAGCTAATGCAGCCTCTGGCAATATAAGTTTTCCATGTATGCCCTTGAGTGGCTGGTGGGGTGAACTGTGTCCCTTTTCTGCCCCTCCCTGCCTGCCCTTTCACCCAGATTCCAAAAGGTTAGGCTATGTCTACACTGCAGTTAGGAGCTAGCCCCCCCCACACACACACACACCCCAGCTAGGCTTCTGCGCCTGAGCTGCAACTTCAAAGCGCTGTCCACACCATTGTTTTAGAGCACCGAGTGCCACTACCCCAAGCCTGTTGACTCGGGATGGGAGGCTTTGTAGGTGGACCCAGAGAGACACAAGGAGGAAGTGAGGGGGGGAAGGAAGGGTGCCACAAAGGCAGCTGCCCTCCACCTTACCACATAGCCAGGTGCTCCTCTCTGCACACAGGTCTAGTGGGTACGGGCCTGCCTGGAGACTCAGCAGGGGCAAATACGATAGCTGAAGGACATTATACCAGCTGTTGTTGAGTCGCTCATGCCGAGTTTTGCTGCGGGTTCACTGTGCCCTTCGCTCCAGTCCCCGATTTTGTGGTCGGTGTGTCTTTCCAAGCCACGCGGCTGGCCTGTGACTCACTAAGGCAGTGGTTCTCAACCTGTGGCCTAATCCACCCACAGCTACAGCCCATGTGACATCCTTAGGGCCCTACAGGTTATATATGTATTGTGTGGATGTGGCCAACACGACACACAGACAGCTGCATATGCGGCCCACAACGGTAAATAGGTTGAGAACCGCTGCACTAAGATGTCCCTCTCTTCTCCAGTGCTCCTCAACCTGCGGGAAGGGCCTCCAGTCACGCGTGGTGCAGTGTATGCACAAAGTCACCGGCCGCCATGGCAACGAGTGCCCTGTCCTATCCAAGCCAGCAGCCTACAGACAGTGTCACCAAGAGGCCTGCAATGAGAAGATAAATGTCAACACAATTACCTCGCCCAGACTCGGTGAGTGGGTGGATGCAGAGCTACAATTCTTGGGGAGGTTAAATAATCAACCTGAAGCCATCAAACGCCAGAAAATATATCCTGCCCAGGTATCTGGGAAACATAGTCCTTGTGCTGAATGTTACAGAAACGAGGTTCCAGATGGCTCATCAGAGACAGAAGCGTGGAGACCATCAGAATCTCTGGGTAATTAATGTTCCAGAGTAGACAGATGCTTTATTCTTCGTAGCTCCACCCTGCCTGAGACCTCCGCCAAGCCAGAACTCCTAGAGCCATGTTCCCTGAGAGACCAGTTGGAGCAGGCAGGCGTATCTGCGGGTCAGAGAGAAGGGGGTTGGGAGTTTTGGGTGAGGGCATTCACCCACACTCAGTCGTCATTCCAAGCTTCAAACATCTTGTCACATGATGGGTAAAATGGGATAAGCAGAGAATGTTAGTGACTTGGGTTGCATTTTGCTTGGTTAATAAAATTGGGGGAATGAATTGAAATGGAAAAGCCTGCAAATGTATCCAGCCCAAACACAAAATCTTCTCACCTGCCTTTCACTATGATAAGTGATGATGAATACAATAATATTTTATTCACCTGTCCAAAAAAAAATTATTTGACTTTGGGAGGTAGAATTTTCCAAGGTTGTAGCTTTTTGGAAAGGTGGTTCTTTTTGGAGGGAAGATAGACCTTCCACAGATTAGTTGCTGACTTAAGAATGGGACTTGCTGAAATCACTTATTTCTGGGCAGGGAGGAAGGAGTGAGAGAGTCTCCATTTCAACTCTTTCTTTCTCCCACTCCCTTAATGATCTACTCTCTGTTTGCCCAGCTGAGCCGAGGCTGCTGGTGATAAATTGTCTATTTGCCGAGATACCACAACTCTGTATTTAAAGAGTGGTTCTACTCAGAAGTGACTCTGTCAATAGTCCATCATGGGGTTCCATGGCTCTTTTGTCTCCGTTATTTTCTGTGTCACATGTGCTAAGTTTACAAGTAAAAGATGCATTTTCTAACAGCAAGCCCCACAAGTTCAACCTGGGATCTGACAGCTGAGCTGGGTTTTTTTTCCTTCTCACATATCACTAGTAAAAAAGGTCAGCAGGCCACATTAGGCCATAAACTACACTTGTGCAACACTGTTGCCTTCCATTATGCCCTCAGTGCACTCCCTTTTCCTCCAGTGTAACTGGCTAGTATTTAAACAATTCTGTTGATGGCACACCAGAATGGACTCCAGCTCGCACTCTCTCAGCTGTACAGCGCACACAGAAGTAAGAAGCAGTCCTGTTTATTTTTGGCCCCGAAGTCAGTAGATCCGACTCTGCATATACACACAGAGCGCAGATCTGATTAACAGAAAGGGAGGCATTTTTACAAAGTCACTTTTCCGAGTAGAACCACACTTAAGACTAGACGTGAGGCTTCTGAGCTGGAATTTGTTTCCCTGAAAATCCATAGTACTTTCAATAACTGCTTTTTAAAATACGAGAGTCACTGGTCCAGCTGAAGAGCTTCAAAATGCTTCTAAATCCTTTTGTTTAGAAACATAAAAAACATATGAGACTATTTCCCAGAAATGTTAGCATGTACAGTTTATCATAGAAGGTTTTCATTTGAAGAATAAGTCTTTGATCCACCGATGAGATGAGAAATCTTTTCTAATTCACATTTTAGCACAAAGCTGTGTTTAGTAGAGTGGTGCAGTTGAAGTCCCTGCAAGTAATCTGCAAGTAATTTGGGATGCTTATGTTTCTAAACCTGCCTTGGGGGAATTATCGGTGCCAGCAACAATGATACTTGATATCAACAAAAATATACACCAATTATCAGCATTGAGTGGTTTGCTCTTCTTCTGGATAAACAAGTTATCATTTGGTTATCTTTAAACAGATGTTTCTATTTTCCACAATATAAGCCTCATTAATAAGAATCGTACAGAAAAATACTCCCGTACACTACAGAAGCCATCCAGAATTAGATTGTAAGCACCTCAGGGCAGGGCCTGTCTTTTTGTTCTGGGTTTGTACATCACCTATCACAGTGTGGTCCTGGTCCAGGACTGATACTCCTAGGAGCTACAGTAATACAAATAATAAATAATGATCATTATAAAATGCTGCTCTGTCACTGCTTTAGGCTGCAGTGTTTTTGACCATAGGTAACATTTTCAGAAGTGTCTACTGGTCTCTCTACACTGCAGTTAAACACCCGCAGCTGGCCCATGCCAACTGACTCAGGCTCGTGGGGCTTGGGCTGTGGGGCTATTTAATTGTGGTGTAGATTAGATGTTCAGGCTTGGTCAGGAGCCTGGGCTCTGGGACCCTCCCCGCTCATGGGTACCAAAGCCTAGGTTCCAGCCCAAGTCTGAACGTCTACATCACAGTTAAACAGACTGGTAGCCAGAGCCTCATGAGCCTAAGTCAGCTGAGATGGGCCAGCCAGGGATGTTTAATTGCTACGTAGACAGACCCTAAGTGACTTAGGAACTTGAGTCCCATTTTCAAAGTGACTTAGGCATTCAGGAGCCTAAGCCCCATTGGTTTTTAGTGAGATTACACCTCCTAAGTGCCTACACCATGTTTGAAACCTCCCAAACCACTTAAACCCAGCTCTTCAATGGCATTTAGGTACCTAACTCCCACTGATGTCAGTGGAAATTAGGGGCCTCAGTACCTTTGAGGATCTGGGCCTTGGGCACTTACTCCATGACTGTAGAATATTGCAATATTTATCCTAACAAGGAAAGCTGCACCCCACCCTCAGCTGTAATTGTGGGTCATGACAGCAAGTGGCTCCAGTGTCCCGTTTTTCACTTTCTATGAATCTGGCTTTTAACACACTGATTTTTGAATTGGTCTTTCCCCCCTCTGCCCAGGATGTTCTAACCACACTCTGCAGGCTGCTTCATGATTTTCCATTACAGGGCTTCTTTTCCCTTTTGCTGCAATATCTAGTACTGGGCACTGTCAAAAGGGCCTCATTCAGAAAAGTACTGAGCACATACCTCACTTTACGCATGCATGTAGCCCCACTGATGTCCCGGGGACTACTCACCTGCTTAAAGTTAAGCATGTGCTGTGTGCGCTTTGTTGAATCAGGGCCAGAAATAGGACACTAACAGATGATCTGATCCAGCGTAAGAATTCCTAAAGGCCCACAAGGATATGCCCAGCTATTGCTTGTCCAGCCTTGCAACAGTTTTCTGCATGATCGCTCTTTCCATTGCGTTTGTCAGACAAGCCACTACCACCCTGTCGCCCTGAGCTTTTCAGCAGCAGCCCTACTTAGAGCATAAAGTATGCCATCCAAATCGCAGTGTTGACTAAGATTAGCCATTTCTCCCCTCATTTACTGCTCGGGTTATGTTGGTCACACATGGGATGCTCTCCTTAACATGCTGGCTTCTTCTTTCCATTTCTGTCCGAAGCTGCTCTCACATACAAGTGTACAGGGGACCAGTGGACAGTGTACTGCAGGGTGATCCGTGAGAAGAACCTGTGCCAGGACATGAGATGGTATCAACGTTGCTGCCAGACATGCAGAGACTTTTACGCAAACAAGATGCAGCAGAAGAGTTAATGAACTGGTGCTGCTGCTTAGGGTATTACAGCTATTTCTATGTAAATCACGAACTAGTAGGTCTGAGTACTGGAACTTAATGAGTTGCTACAATGTGGTGGATTCCAAAGCATACCTAATAAGACTTGAAACTAATTCTGCAGACTGGATGTACCAAAGTAATCCACTCATCCACCTTAAAAAAGAGTCATCTCAAGGAGCCAATCACGTAGAATTTTATTGTGTTTTGACATCATTACATTTTTCATTACTGCTTTTTACTTTAATATATTATTACCAGCCACTGGATGGCTTGCTACCATTTAAAAAAAAAAAAAAGGACAAGAGTTGCAACGTGATTAAATTGACTAAAGTCATGTGTACCTCGGTGGGGGAAAGCCTCTGGCAAATAACTCAGCAAACGTGCAGACATTACTTAATGCTTCAACCTTGGCTTCCATCTGATGCTCTTAATTCCCAACAGTTAGCATGCTGTGGGGTGGGCTTGGAGGGACACACGCAAATGAAATGCTTAATTTAAAAGGGGGATTTGCTATAAAAGCTTGTGAAAACTGATAGCAGAGGATGGATGTCTCTGAAATTTCTGCTCAGCACAGTTTTATCCAACGTTCCATTTAATGTAATTTTAAAAAAAAAAAACACCTAATTGGGAATTCCTTCTCCTGTCTGGGTCTGAAAACATATCCCCTCTCTCTTTTTTAAAAAAAAACATATGTTTTCTCTTATGATGCCTTATTCTCTTCAATGAGTTTAAAGAAATGGAAGCTCATTAACCCAGGAGCAGACAGTTAATTTTAAGCCAGAACCACTTGCGTGAGATGGAAGTAGCTGGAAATCATTTAAATGTATAGGGTTTGTTGGGGAGGGATTGTTTAACGTGCTCTTTCCAATTTTTGGAATTCAATCTGATAATAAGACAGAATGCTATTTCTTAAGGGTATTGTGAAACCAGTTAGGGTTGGCACATACCCGAAACAGAGATCAGAACAGCATTTGCAGGAAGGGTAACTTAGAGACCAAACCGATCTTTCCCCTCTCTAGGATGTATACATCATAAATCCTTTTGAGACAGAAAGGGAGCAGTTAGTAGACTTTCAGGGTGAAATTCTGGGCTAATTGAAACCAAAATGGCAAACCTGCTATTGCCTTCAGTAGGGCCAGGGTTTCACACTCAGGCTATGTCTACACTGGCAACTGAACGACAAAACTTTTGTCTTTCAGAGGTGTTTTAATAAAAAACAAAACTAAACCCTGAAACACAAGTTTTGTCAAGGACAAGCACCAGTATGAAGAGTGTGCCAGGCTCTCCTGCTGACAGCGCAAATGCCATTCGTTGGGGGTGGAAGTCTTTTGTCGGCAAGAGAGCTGACAAACAGCAGCTGCACGGCACGACTTTTAGCGACAGAGCTGTAGCGAGACAGCCATGTCGCTAAAAGCTGTGTAGTGTAGCCATAGCATCAGTCTTGTCTCCTTTTGCTTTGTTACCTGGTGTGCCTTTTATCGGGACAGTCGGAGAGTGCTGTAAGAAGAAAAGGAGTACTTGTGGTACCTTAGAGACTAACCAATTTATTTGAGCATAAGCTTTCATGAGCTACAGCTCACTTCATCGGATGCATACTGTGGAAAGTGTAGAAGATCTTTTTATGTACACACAAAGCATGAAAAAATACCTCCTCCCACCCCACTCTCCTGCTGGTAATAGCTTATCCCGGGGAGCTGGGGAGGCGTTGTTCTAGGTCAGCCATAGGGGTGTTGGCATGCTGTGGGGCCATGCGGGTGCCCATGGCGGTGCCGCTGATCTGAGGGTGTGCATTGTCCCCAGGTGTGGAGTGGTTGTGAGTGGGGACGGAGTCGCGGGGTTCGGCCACGAGGTTGGCCGTGACATTGTCGGGGACGGTGTTCTTGACGGCTTGTCGGATTTGTGCTGGAAATGGCCCAACTTGATTATCATACACATTGTAAGGAGAGTGATCACTTTAGATAAGCTATTACCAGCAGGAGAGTGGGGTGGGAGGAGGTATTTTTTCATGCTTTGTGTGTATATAAAAAGATCTTCTACACTTTCCACAGTATGCATCCGATGAAGTGAGCTGTAGCTCACGAAAGCTTATGCTCAAATAAATTGGTTAGTCTCTAAGGTGCCACAAGTACTCCTTTTCTTTTTGCGAATACAGACTAACACGGCTGTTACTCTGGAGAGTGCTGTGTAAATGATATTATCTCACACATGTCTAAACTTCAGACCAAATTCTTCTCTGAGATTTAAATGGGAGCTCCACACAGGGCCAAATTTGGTTTAGTGAGTGTTAGTCGATCAGTGTCTCTCTGCCATATCTAACTCAGGCTATGTCTACACTACAGCTGGTATCCACATGCTGAGATCGATCCACCGGTGATCGATTTAGCGGGTCTAGTGAAGACCCACCAAATCGACAGCAGATCGCTCTCCAGTCGACTTTACTCTACCCCTGACGAGAACAGTAAGGTAAGTCAACGGGAAAGTTTCTCCCGTCGACCCCCCCCCCGCTCCCCAGGTGTAGACCCCACGGTAACTCGACATAAAGTACGTTGACTTCAGCTACATTATTCACGTAGCTGGAGTTGCGTAGCGTAGGTCGACTTACCGCGGTAGTGTAGACATAGCCTCAGACATGTATCCTTTCCCTTGCCAAGCTCTGCTGCCAGGCATGCTGTGGGTAGGTTACACTCACGCTCTGTGAAATGAACCGAGCTATATGGGTGAATTATAGCTTTGTCCTCGCTCTAGCGACATGTTAATATTTATGATTTTGGAGATGGGCACAGAACAAAACCCAGTCCCCAGCACTAAACATTGGGAAAGTCTGGATCCGAATGTGAGCATCGTGGCTCATGCTTCTCTCTCGTGTTATTGCCTTGCTTTAATGTGCCGAGGGAGAAAGGCATTTAGTACTTAACATTTTTAAACAACATTTTCTCCCTTATTAAGACTGTTCTGGTGTCCTGGAGCTCAGTGAAATAATTTGTTATGGCTTTATTAAGGACTGAGCTTTCAAACCTAGGAATCTAATTTCCATCGCAGACTGGTAACTGCATATGCATCCATATTTGCATGGGCAAATTATGTCCTGGCTTGTGCACCCAAGTGCTGGTCTGCAGGCACAAAGGCACATTTGCATACACAATTACTGCTCTGTAAGTGCTTGGCCCCAACAAATCTGTATTCTGCATACTAGATGTTTTTTGTGTGTGAGGGAAATGATCTAATTTGGTGGTTGTTATTCTGGTGGCTCTTTGGGTAAGTTCCTTTTAAAATCAGAATCAAACCTTTTCCTCCTACTTCTGACCTTGGGTCCAAATTCAGATGGACATAGCTGGTTGTGTAAGTTACCAAGTAGCATAAGTCAGTATAAAATGGTGTAGTTAATGCAGAAAGAGAGGTAGGGGGGAATGTAGCTGATTGAAGGTCACGGTATAAAAAACAAAACCGACAGAGTAGGTAGCTAAACAGGTAATGAGAAAGTGCAAGGAAGTATCAGATCTAGCAGAGAGAGCCTGCTTTACCTTAACACTGCCTGTTAGTAGCTTTTCCTGCCATACTCTCCCCATTCAATCCCTTGACATGTAAGTTACACCCCTTTACCCCAGTTTACTGACATGCATCTCACTCTGCCATTCATGGCCCCCATGATAAAGTGATTTGCATCCCTCTTAGGGTTTGGGGTTTTCTCAAAAGGTAACATTTCAGCTCACGATGTGGCTTGACTCTGTGAAATGCCACATCCTCGCATGTCGTTTATGACAGCATGTTACTTGTGTCATGTGATATGCTGTCATGTGATTTACCACAAGACCCTTTCATTCTGTTCAGAGTGATGAGAAATGGATTTCTTAAGTAGTGGGAGTTTTTTTGCCTCCTGGAGGCCCTGATCCAGCCCCCTCTGCAGTCAATAGAAATACTCCCATAGACGGCAGTGGGGTTTTGGGCCAGGCCCCAAGTTTGCGTCCATATAATGGAACATGAATCTGCTGGTTTAATGGATGGATTTCTTTTGACTGTCTGAGCAAAAATGCCATTTATTTCTGAGCAGAAATCCTCCTACATTTAAAACAGAGCACCATTTGTATTCCTTGATCTCCTGATGACCCTACATCCCATCCCATTTTGTAATGGCCAAAAATATCAACAAAAACGTTTAATTCTGCACTTTTGCTTTGTATTGTTTTATAGATGCTTTTACTATGAATTTACAGCTATGCTCTGTCCTCAGTTACTACATACCAGTGAAAAGAAAGCTGTTTATTTCAGTGTCATGACAATATGTTGTTGGTGGTGTTTTTCATAAGAGATTGATGCTCTTTGATTACAGTGGTGGTATTTCCATATTGTACAATACTCTCTGTACTGTTCCTAAAGTACTGTACATTTCTAGTTGCACAATTGTGTTACTGAGTGTAGATTCTCACTATCTTATGTATGGTGCTATTTTTGTGTTGTTGGTGGAAAAGAAATCTTAGCAGTTGATTATTGCTTGATATTTTATTATAATACAGGGATATATCCTCCATGGCAATAATATCATTTAAGGTTCTCATTACAGAGTGAAATGTATATATTTTTCCATTAGTTAATTTACATATGTACTGTATCCATGGTAAAAAAAAAAAAAAAAAAATTGTGCTGGCTATAAATAGAAAAAACAAAACCAGTCAAGCAGAACGGAACTAGTTGTAAATGAAAATCAAAAAGAGAGGGTTGTTCCATTCTGAAACAGATTGAATAGGTTTAATAGTAAATTAATTTTTCCATAACAATCTTATAAGGTTTATGAACTTGAAAAAATGCAAAGCAAAACCAAACAGCTAACTGTGAAAATAAAGAAGTAGTAAGTCTGTAAGTAATACATGGTGCATCTGTCTAATACTTGACTGAGACTTGGATTCAGATGAGTCCAGGACCCACCATTGACATCTGTAGTAGGTGTAAAAGGTCATTTGTCAGTGAAATACTGGCAGCTTGGGGTTCCCAGCGTGCTAACAAATCATAAACTGATGGGTCTCGTCCCAATGTGGTTGCAAAATAACATACAGGGAATGTTAATATGTAGCTAATGCCAAGTGAGTTCTTTGGTCGGTGACACACAACAGCAGAAAACGCCTGGCTGGAAAAACTGATCTAGGCTCCATTTGGGGTAAGCTGCATTGGCCTTTGGAGGCTGTTGGGAGGATAAAGCTTTTGCATAGGGGGAAGGGGGGTTTATAAGCGCATTTCAGAGAGTTTTCTTTCAATGTATGTTAGAATCAAGGTGAAGTGGCAGCCACGCTGTATGGTTAATGGTAGCTGCCACACAGACGCAGCCTTGTGA